GGGCCGTGGGTGTAAAGCCAGAAAATCTGGATCAGCTCCGTTGAAGCCCCGTTTTTAGAGATTTGGGTACGGAGGAAAAGAGAGAGGGTTTTATTTTCTGATGCTGTGTGAGTTCCCCGACACACCGGGGACACATCTTTATGTATAAAAGACATCAAAAAGTGCATTTTGCATGATAGGTCCCCTTTAAGTAAATGTACTTTGAAATGAATCATGTGTGGTCTCCTTCTTTTGTCCGTCCTTGAGTCACGGCGTAACAACATCTACAGCTGGACGTATTAAATATAAAGCCCCTACTAAGACACAATAATAGACCCACAGAGGAAAATACAATATGTATCCCAGTTATATCCTCATAGCACTACAAAAACTAAATGGACTCTACTGATATTGGGCATGTGATATCCATGTGTGTACCTTGAACGCTCTGACTCCAGAGTTGCGGTGGTTGACGGTTGAAGCCAGCAGGCTCTTCCAGCCCTGAGGGTCGTCCTTGTAGGGCAGCTGTCCGGCCCGCAGCTTCACGTACAACACGCCATCTCTGCACAGGATGGACCTGAGGGAGAGGTAAGTATTCAGAGAGAGTTTGACCTTTACATCTGACGACTCATTGGTCAATACATGAGATCAAAGCTTCCCCCGGGATTCTGCTAATCAATCTGTGGCACAAAAAGATGAAGTGGGTCCCGAGACATTTTCACACACTGTCTATTTAGTGGTTTTTATTTGACTGATTAGATGCAAGCACTGTTGAATCCCTCGATACTTACTTTAGATGCTGTGTTTCTTTGCTGAGGTCTACAGACAGTTCCCAGTATCTCGGCCCCTTTACCTTTACCTGCAATAAAGAAATGAACACACACATCAGAAAATAAAATAATTAAAAAAATAATTGTTTAAACCATTTGAGTGATTAAGTGATTCATGCCGTTTATATTTTTTTCGCGTTTATCAATATCCTTCATTCATGTCACATAGCTAGTCCTCAGTAGAGAGGGAGCTACACTGAACAGTGTCGTTTCTACTAGACTCTGTTGTTCTCAGGATTTACCTTTTTGAGGAGGTGCAGCTCAGGAAGCATGGTGGGAGCCATGAGTTCTACAGTCGTCTCGTCGTACCACTTTGTCTCCTAAAACAATAGAAAATGGCGTCATTGCATCAAAGCTGGGCTGATACCCAGCGTGGCTTCATGTGGCATTGCCTTACTCTATATAGCCATGCTGTGAGTATTGCTTTTGTACTTTATCAATGAAAGTGTAAAAGAGATTTTGGTTTAAGAAGCAGGAAAACAGAATAGCTGGAGGCCAAAAACAGACTCTAGATAAACAGAACTTCATTGATGTGAAGATGCTTTCATTCAATTTCATTCAGATTGAGTCGAACTGTCTTTAATGTCCATTCTGGACTTGGTCCTGCTGTTACACAGTAGATAAAAACACACACCTCAATAGCTTAAGATGTATACTTGATTTGCATTTCGCTCACACAAGCAGTGACGTAAGCACTGATGATGTTCACAGTGTCACTCTGAGCTTTCAGATATGAATTAAATTGAGGTGAGGCATTCTCTCAGAGGTGGTCCTGACTTCCTCAGTTTGAGATTATCCTGGGATGTCTTTTGCATATTTATCTCCCCCTCATTTCCTGTTATCTCTGTATCTGTCACAAAAATGGCATAAACCTGGAGGTGCTGCTAATTCACTTTCCTCTAAAATATGTTTCCACATGATCGTGGATTTATATTGGCAAACTTATAGTCACAGGCCTCCAATAAAACTCCACCCATTCTCCCATTGGTTTAGAAACAGTTCGACTATTTTCGGTGTTTCCCATTTTCTCTAAAGGTCAGACATTTTACTTTAAGCACAGCCACGTGGATGATTGTTTACTCAAACATTAAAGAAGTATTGTGAAAAACATAAAAGGTATTCAGTATGGCTTAAAATCAAAAATACTTCACAACTACAAAACTTCAAGCAGCAGAACCTCGCAGTGCTTCTAAAACAAAAACAGATTTCTCAAATAGCCTCATCTAAAAAAAGCAGCATGAAAACCTCACTGAGGGAAATGTAGAAATGACTGCTCCTGTAATTCAGGAGCTATTTACTGCATCTGTCGAGGCACAGCTAGAGTATTGCAGCAATTGCTGTTGAAAGTACATGTTTTAAAAGCTGATGCACTTCACGTAGACTGGAGGATAATAATTGCAGGGTAGAAATATCGAATACATGGAAAAACATCTAGTTCTTATTTAACCGTCTCGTTTTCTGGTCAAACATTATAACGGGTGGTTGGTTTTATGAAAGAGTCTCCAAATATGGAAAGAGTGGTGACAGAGCGCACGTGATCTGAATGAATGGACACACTGTGCCAGTTTGGAGACGCAAAACCGGAAGTCTGAACCACATTGGCTCCAACTGGCACAAAGAGGCACCATGACTCCTCGTTTGTTTCACTGGAGGGCTTTTGGATTTTAAAAGATGCCGTTTTTCAGAGCAAACCGTTTTAAAGACTTTTCCTGACCACTATCTTACCGCAAACTACTCTGCATGTTTCTGAAAACACATTGCTTGTTAAGAGAGTTCGTTACAGAGCTTCCTTAGATTGTAATCTGTTAACAAATGCATTTGATGTGCGCTGCTATCTAAACGGCGGCAAGTGAAATATATTCAAGTTAGGATCGTTTTAGTGTTAACTCTGTAGTCATGTATTTATTTTGAACAATGTATTAACCATTTCATTTGTGTTGTATTATATATTTCTTATTTTCCTCTTTATTTGTAACTAATGATGTGGAGATGTTTTCCCCATGTACAATGTGTGTTTATTTAGGATCCCAAAGAAGACCGCTCAAAAGAAGCAATTGGGAATCACATAAACAATGATAAAAGTTAGCTACTCAAACACATAAATCTACTGCTTTACCCAACAAGTAAAGCATACATGTGGATGAGATGCCACAGTGTAGTTGTTATGCAGTGGTAGTTTACTTTTTCCGATAAAGAGTGAACTTAATTTAAGGTTACAGGTAAAGAGCTGGTCTTTGCTTGAACAAAATATACCAATTACACCTCCAGTTTGAGGAAGCTGTCCAGCTGACAGCAGTAATGCTAGCAAATAGAAAAACAGAAAAGTATTTCTGGCGTGAAGGCGGGAGGTTTTTCTTCTCTCGACTACATTACAGTTTGTGTTGGCATGTAAGCGTGTGTGTGGTTGCATGTCAAAAAGCTTGTCAAGAGGAAATGTAGATATTGACAACATTTGTGACAGAGATAGAGAGCAATAGAGAGAGAGGAAGGAAGTGCAAGCCATCATATAGAGAAACATATGTTACTTGAGTGTTTGGTCATGTTTCACTACACATATTAAACAAGGGAACAAAGGCTTCAGTCAGGCATGTTAGCTTGTAGGTTTTGGATGTTGAAGGTACTGCCGAGGTGAAGCAATGCTAAAAAAGATTGCTCTATACTTAAGCACTGTAAGGACAAGAGGGAATGACCAGTTCTGAGAACATTACTAACACATTTTCATTAAGAAACATGTTAAAAAATAATCATGGTGTGATTTTTGAATAGGCTTTCTACCAAACAAGGATTTTTTATTAAGTCTGTAGATTAACATTTGTAGGCCAGGACTTCTCTACAGTAACACAATACTTTTTCCAGATTTCTTTCACATATTTTAGAAATTGCACTAGTCCATATTGCAATTATGATAACATTTAAATTAACTGTGCAGTCCTATTTGTGTGTAGCTGTCAATGTGACCTGAAGAACGTAAGGTTCAAGGTTAGTTTATTTGTATAGAACATTTTAAGACACAGAGGCAATTCAAAGTGCTTCACATAGGCATTTCAAACAACATACCGTAATTTTCGGACTATAAGGCGCACCTGAATATAAGCCGCAGCAGCTAAATTGAATGATGTGTACATATATAAGCCGCACTGGACTATAAGCCGCAGGTGTTTTAATGTTTAATTACCATATGTAAGGGTTCGTGCACAGAGGGGATTGTCGGGAAAGAGATGGCTGTTTGAGGAAGCTCCCATTTATTAACATTTCAACAAACAAGTTGCATATTTGCATAACGTATTCAAGTGTTACCATTTAGTGCAATAGTAGCTACAGAACATGTACTGTGCTGTGTAAACTGTACTGTATCACATAGCGTTTCAGACACACAAACTTTTCAACTTTCAAACTGAAACGGTGCGCTCCCAGCGCACGTACCGGCAGTGATCTACAGCAGTGGTTTTCAACCAGTGGTACGGGGACAAACTGTCTCGCTCTCGTAATGTCTGTCTGTCTTGCTCTCGTTCTGTCTCTCGTACCACTCTCGGTTCCACTTTTACTTTTGCGCGCTACCTGTTTCACTCTTTTCCGGCCTCCAGCTTTTCCTGCTGGAACCCGCCGCTTAAAGGTGGGGGGCGCGGACCGGCCATAGAGCCCATAGAGTTAAAGGTGGTGGACTGTAACCTGTAAAATCCATAGATTTAGGAGGTCCCCTAGTGGCCGTTAGCTGTAAAAATCCATAGATTAGCCGCACCGTTATATAAGCCGCAGCGTCGAAAAATGGGAAAAAAGGCGCGGCTTATAGTCCGAAAATTACGGTAGTTTATTTGTGTTAATGTTTGACTTTGGTGAAGCAGAACTATCCCTTTTAAAATATGGGTTTACTCAGAAAA